GACAGCTTTTGAGGTTCTGTCTCCAAAAAAAAAAAAAAAAGAAAAGCATTTTGTAAACTTCACTCTTCCACCAAAAAAAAAAAAAAAAAAGTATTTTGTAAACTTCACTCTTCCGCAGCAGGGCATAGATTAAAATAAAAAGAAACTAACCTGATGAAGATTTTATTGTAAATTTTAAGTCCCAAACTTCCCATAGTTCCTTAAGTTCCAGTGAGAGTAACACCACTAGTATATGTTGAGTTCAGGTTTCATATTTTAAAAGTTTGCTTTCAAGATGAATTCTGATTTCATTAACTTTTATTAACTTTTCTCATTGTTTCTTCTCTCTTTGTAGGTAGTTCAGAAGTGTATTCCTTTCCTCATTGGACATTTGAAGGATTCAACCCATAATGACCTCATCTTAAACACCCTCATAGAGATAGCCGGCTATGAGCCAGTGGCTTTGAACAGTTTTCTTCCAATGCTGAAAGAGATTGGGGAGCGATTCCCCTACCTCATCGGACAAATGGCAAGGATCTATGGAGCTGTTGGGCATGTGGATGAAGTAAGTTTGGCCTGGATCTTTCTATTTCCCTGAATTCCATTCGTACTTAATCCTCTGAAGCTCTATGCATTCGGGAATTCTCATTGTCCTTTTGATGCTTTTGCATGGATGGAGTCCTTTGGGTTAAGGTAGAAGAGTTATGTGGAAGGATTAGGAAGGGAGGGTTTTATTGCCAGAGTGCTAGTTGAGGAAGGAGGAGAGTTAAAAGGGAGAGGGCACTGCAGTAGATTCGAGACCATTTTGTCATAACAGCAGCCAGTGAAAGAGCTTTATCTCATTTCTGGTTGCAGTTCCTCTTAACTTAGGAGAGCATTAGGAAGCACAGAACTGTGTTTCGGAAACTACTCATGGATGCGCACCCATGGCTTTCCTACCAGGGGCCTGGGTTCTGTGTGAGCCCACTGGACAATATTATTTGGGACAGTGAAATAAACACTCTGGATGTTTAAAAGTACTAGTCTAAATATTTGCATAATGAAATCTCTCAATAGGGACAACAGGATGCCATCAGAGTTTATGGGGATTAGGTGACTGAGAACATTGGCAGAAATTCAGGCACTCTTCAAGTATGGAACGTCTCTGTGTTAACATAGTGACTTCATTCCACAGAAGAGGTAACATCCTTTAACACCTTTGAATATGAATTACTTCGTCTTTGTATTCAT